GCAGCGGCGGCCTTATCCATTGCGAGGCTCTGGGCGGCAGATCTTTGCGAGGCCCTTGTCCTTTGTGCAAAGTATGTGAATTGAAATAGTAGGCACTTATTAATATTAATATATACTGTACTATAAATTAAATTTATTTTATTGTTATAACTAATAGCCAAGGATAGAATAAAAAGTTTTAAATATCAACTTTTTTCTACTTGGTTGTTGCGCAAGGCCCCTCCAAGAGCGAGGCCCCGGGCGATTGCCCTGCTCGCCACCTCCTAAGGCCGCCACTGCTTAAAAAACAAATTAATATTAACCTGCCATATTCCAACCATAAGTCCTAACGAAATAGCAACATCTATATTCTTTGGAAGTGTTCCATTACTTCTAAATGATGCTGTAGTATTTGAATAATCATTTCCATAGCTTTCATCAAATTTTGCAAGAGCATTGCTAATCATTATACTGATAACAGAAAAAGTACCTGAAAAAATATACATATTTTAATATACTATACATATTAAATACATTACACACATTATTTAAATTTACATATCTTAAATTTTCTACTGTATTTTTAACAGATACAAAACTATATCTCAATAAAATAAAAATTGGTTCTTCAATATAAAGAACAAAGTAATTAACTATTTAGTTATTATCTGTTAGTATTCTTAATGAATTAAAACAGCAACAATATGACAAATTTGCATTATTATGATCTTATTAAGATCAAAGTTAGATAAAATGGCAGTAATCTTGTATCAGTTGGTTTAAACTATATACCATAATCAGTTACTAACTGGATTAAGAGTCTATATTTATGGAACATCTAAAAAAAAATAGATATTTTGTTTTTATATTGATCTTAATATCTTTATGACTGTTTTCTTTTTTTACTAGTTTATAAAATAATTAATTGGTTTCATACTAACATTTTTATGCATTAATATTTTCGTAATTATTATATCAAAACTATTTCTTTTTTTTTTTATTTATACAACATGAAACTTCATAAATAGAAAGAATAAATTCACATTATTTTGATTTACATGATTTTCTATAGAAATTTTATATCTTGTAGTAATATTATTGAGATAGTTTTTCAAAAAATTTGATTTTATCTTTATACAATAGGACCTCAATTTTCTGAATTAACGTAGATCAATGCTACTTCAGATAACTGAAAACTCAAATAAAACAACTACAGCCATTTTAGATTAAAACTTATGAATATAACAGATTTACATGACATCACTTTTAAACCTCCTTTTATACCTTTGGGATTTAATTATACATAAGAACAACATTTTTTACATTATTTATTATACAGCTAATAGTTTCAAGAATAGAAATGTGCTCATAATACTGTAAATACAACCAACCAGATAATTACTTCAAATATCAAATAAACAGCCAGATTTCTTTATCAGGCTATTAAAGCTAAATAATTACTAAGTAATTTGGCAGGAGGTAGACAGTTAACTGTCATCTCTTGTTAAATTTAATAATTATAAATAAATAAATTAATTAATTAGTCTGGAAGTGAAGATGAAATGTAGGTGCAAGTAGTGTAACTAGCAACATGTACTGCACAGTAAGCAGAAGTTGCAGGTTCAAGTCCTGCTCAGGCTAATCTTTTTTTTTAGAATATTGTACAAATTAAATTAATTTATTCATTCATCATTATTGAATTTAACAAGAAATAGTAGCCTAGCCATCTACCTCCTGCCAAATTATTCAATTATTATTTAGCCTTAATAGCCCAATAAAGGAATCTGGCTGTTCATTTGATATTAAAAATGTGTTAATTATAGTTACATTTAAGTATAAATGGTTCATTTTACATTGAAGTTAAATGATAAAGGTTAGAGTTTTTTTCTTTTATAGAAGTTCCTCCCTTCTTTGATGCAAGGTTTCACAATCACCTCAGCATCATTTTTCACTAGCGGTCTGTTCTTCACTACTTGACTGACCCCTGTGATTGACATGGAAAAATAACCATGATTCAGAAAAAGTTAGAAAAATGCTAACTCAGCATTAGTCACTCAGTACAGTTGAGATTAAAAGTATTGCAGTATTTATGTACAGTACAGTACTTGTGCATTTACAGCTAAGTTTTCATGAATTTCAAGAAAAGTAATGTTTTCACTTACAGGTTTGCCTCAGATTTTGCAAAATCTTAGCTACTTGGAGTTCTACTGTGTTCTACTAACTAGTTACAGTTAGTACACTAACACTTTTCAAGTATTTGTGGACTAAAATTTTAATCTTAAATTTAAAATATTATTAGCTCTTAAAATATTAATTGCATATTAATTTAATTAGTATATAAAAATAATTGATCTTAATCAAGAAATAAATTTATTGATTTCGTGAATAAAAGATTCACTAGTTAATGTAGAATGCTTTGTTTTTAATAAAACTTCTAAGAATAAAAACTTTAACAATAATTTTTTTCAAACTCAAGAACATACCAATTGATACGTGATGAGAGGTTCCCATCAAAAAATATATCATCACTGGGAAAAATGAAACATACAACCCATACACAGGATCAACTCTTGCCAACAAAGCATATGCCATACCTAAAATAAAATAAATTTATTTATATATATTACAATAAATAAATAATTGAAGTAATGAGAATGATATAGTCCAAACCACATCTGATATTTTTTCAGAACAATTTGAAAGTTTAAAATAAACCTATAAATCTAGTAAATGAAATTTTATTCATTCAAAACACATTATGTTCTTTAGACTCTTGAAAATAAAATTATTACATTTTTTAAGATATTGTATTTATTACGTCTGAAAAAATTTACATAAAGAAACTATCTCATTTTTACAAAAATCAAATTATATGTTCAAAGATTCAATAATAAGGCTCTTGGATATAAAATTCTGAACTTTAAACTATTTTCTTGTAAGACACTGTATAATTCACCCATTTTAGTTGTAAAATCTTTAAACAATAGAATCTATTAATATATGTATCAGTTTTGTGTCCGATTTGTCTTCTCGGAGAGTTTTATGCAAATTACAATGATGTTCCATTAACCTAGCACCATCAAGACTGACACAGTGCCAGGTTATCGAATATGCCACCTTATCAGACAGTGGAAGATTTTCCAAGTATTTTGATCTCTGGTCACAATTTTACATATTTTCACATGTAAAATTGTATAAATCTGCCTTTTATGATTGTTTAACATGCCAGTTTAATTTTTCCAGTCTATTCCTACCTTGGTTAGCTTGAAACAAGAACACTGTATTCTTACTTTGTGCTTAGTACACTTTTATTGTGTATAAATACAGACAAACTTTAATTATCAAAGTACATAAACAGTAATGTACTGTAGCTGTTTTCATCGTAGTTATTGATTTAAATCTGATAAATATTTTTGCTTCTCATATCCAATTCTTGTATTAATGTCTTTGGAAGTCTTCACAAGCTAACTGGTTTTAACTATCACAGCATCACATTATTTTGACATTTCTCATCTCTAAAAGGAGAGCCCACACCCCTTTCTAAGAACTGCACATTTTGAACACTTTTACATGAAAATCTTAACTCTGACAAACTCAGTGCACTGATAACTCCCCAATGATAAACTTGACATACTGGCTTATCAGTTTGCCAGCATATCAGATGCAGAGTTAATGGAATTTCACTGTAGTAAAGTATTTTTAACAAACTTATAGCATTATAAGTGACAATTCCATAATTTTTTTGAACACTTCTTTTGGAAGAATGGAGTCTTCCAAACAGCGAGCTAATTTCTTCTAGAATCATTAATTGAAAGGAAGTATTTTTGTTTTGTAAGCACTATAAAGTGAAATTAATTGAACATCCTTTCATCCTTTTTATTTGTTCATTTTAGTTGATGAATGAAAGGAAGTATTTATCTTTTCAATTGTTTAATATCTCTATTCTGCCTTTTATCTTTAAGTGATTCAAATAGTGATTTGTCAGCAGTTCTTTTACACAGAAATACCAACCTGTTAAAAACCATACATGAGGAATGACAAAGACCAAAGTCATAGTATACTGGTACTGTTTTTTTGTCATGTTATAATCTAACATATTCATGAAGTTGAACTGTATTTAATGTCATCATTAATTAACACATACTGCAAGTGATTTCTCAATCATATGTTAAATTTGTACTAGTTATAAACAACTAACTCACTCACTCATTAAACCTATGTATGATATAGCTCTAACCCTAAATTTTGTTGAAACTAAAATAAAGTCTTTAATTTAACTAACCAAATATCTAAGGAAGAGTGACCCTATGCATTAGGAAAGATATCTTCATTAGAACTTTTTGTTAATCTCAAATTTTCTTTCTTTCTAAACCTTACTAATATTTCTTAATGTAGGATGCAGTAAGAAATCTTAATCAGATCATTTCCAGTAACATTGAGATTATCTCACATAGTGTTGCCAACTTTTGAAAATTGCTGACCCGGATGGCAGGTTGGGTTTGTTCAAATAGAAGTTCCTGATGCATGCGCAATGTCATTTTACAATGTGAAGAATAACGTGCATGGCAGTTCTAAATCAGTTACAGTTAGGGACTTAGGACTTGCGTAGGAGTAAGCTAAATTAAGAAAGAACAGGTATAGATGACTTAGCTCTATTGGATATTGGAGAGACGTGTATGATCATACACATAAAAAAAGAAAAAATAAATAAGGTTGACAACAGGTTGCATGCCACATGTTGGCGTAAACAGACTAACATGGCAAATTGCAGATGAGTTTCAGTGAGTGCGAGTTCTTTTGCTGTTAAAATAGTGTAAATTTGTAAAAATATTTGCAAGAACTTTGTTTCATCATAATTTCACAATTTCTATGAAATTCCCGGACAAAATTAATAGTTCACCCAGACAGTGAGTCAATTCTTAGACTGTCTGGGTGAAAACCGGACGGGTGGTAACACTAATCTCACATAACATATATAAAGACACTGAACACACCTTACACACTTTTCCAGCAATTAATTTTAATTAAAATAAATGTTTTTGGTGTAACTGATAAGTCTTCATCATGTTTTAAAATAGGTTTTTATTTAAATGTATTTTATTTCTATCATAATTTTTTTGATAATCAAAAATCCCATTAATTTTTAAAAAACATAATTTAATACTATGTTTTAAAAATATAATCTCTATTTAAATATCTGAGAAAGGCTTATCATCAGGCCAAAAACGTTTGTATTAATTAAAATTAAGTGCTGGAAAAGTGTGTAAGATGTTTTCAGTTATACACCATGATAGTTTTAGTTTTGTCTATTATAACAGTTTAATCATAAGAATATCAATGCTGCTTAGGGACTGAATGTTAAAATATTTTGCTAGTGTCTTTCTCTATTGAGTAGTTAAACTAATGTAATAACTCATTTTTGTAAAAAGTGTGGCTTTAGACCAGGCATGGCCAACATACGGCCCACAGGCCAGATCAGGCCTGTCTAATGAATTTATGTGGCCTGTGATCAATCTTTCAATATTAGCTACTGAACTCCGAATGGCTTGATGAAAAATTCTGACACCTAAAAAAGAAAAAAAGGTCAACAACTCACTGTGCATTTAGAGTTAACCCTCCATTACAAATCTTGTTGTAAGTACAGTGTAGAATGTTGTTAAAGCATGATAATGTGAAAAATGTATCTGTAATCTCTATCTACAATTCATTCTCTACGGGGTGACACCACAATGAGATCTTGCACCACCTCAAAATCTTCCTAGGGTTTGGCCCGTGGAAAAGGTTTTCTTTTCAATTCGGCCCGGGGCAAAAACTGTTGGCCACCCCTGCTTTAGATTATGTCATTCTTATCCCTTTGATTAATAAATAAATACTGTAAATGTTTTGCAAGGTATAAATTAATTGAATATATACAGTACAATTTAAGAACTTAATTAATTTACAAACATACATATATATGTATACAGATTAAATATATTTATACATACAGTAGACTCATGCTAATGTGTCAATAATCCAGTCTCAATTTTCTGGCATACCCACCAGTGTGATTGCCGATGTGCTTCTGTTTTTCATGAAAATGCTAATCGTGTCACATATCCTGTTTTCCCATTTACTTGAGTTTCATTTCTATGTACAGTACATTGCATTTCAACATGCCATATTATTTGCTTGCTTGCCTCCAAAAAAAAATCAGTATCAAAGGGTAACAGGTTACATCAAGGCTACACACACTCAGTAACCCAGTACCCTCTGTGCAAGGAATGGCCAGATTAGTGATAGTCTACTGAGTATATATATTAGGATGGGACAATTATCAAGTTAGCTGATTAATGAAGACAATTAATGAGGATTGTATAATTATCTAATTGTATAATTAATCATTAACTGATCATTGTCAAGTATTTTTTAAATATCTTATAAAATTTAAATTTTTTTGCAGCCTTTTTTAGTTTTAACTTTTTATAATGATAATTTTGTTTAGTATGTATGAATTACAAATATAAATATTTATTTTATTATTTATTTATTGTTTAAAGATATGAAAGTATTAAAAAATAAATTAAATAAATTGTTCTTCATCAAGTTGGGTTACTACTATAAATTTTAGTAGTCAGAGATTCAATTTGTATACAAAGGAGAGGAAAGCTTTGATTTTCTTTTTTTTCCTTGTTGCCATTGGTTAGTAAGAAACATCACAATCCCATACTAGCAACTGCATAGCGTGATTGCATCACTGTAATAAAAAAAAGGAATTAGTATAATTGTATATTCACATAATAAAGGAAATCAGGATCTCTTTTATTTAGTATCCTGTCCACATTGCATTGTAAGGGCCTGCTTGTTTAGAACTGCATGGATGGATATGTAATTGATTTAAAACTTATTTAACTAGCACATAAATAATAACTACAGTATATTCATTGATAAAATAAGGATCTTAAAAAAGCTTGGACACTATGCACACTTCCTTCTCTGCTCCCTTAATTTCATTAATATCTCTGGTAGATTGTCTTTTATCTTGAGTGATCAATATAATCTAAACTAATTTATTTGTGATAGCTAGGGTTGCCAACCATCTGGTTTTGAAATAAACTATATGGTTCTATGGGTCTTTTCTGGAGTCCAATTGAATACCAAATACTGGGCAATTTCACCTGAATAATGTACAGTAATAATTTTCCAATAACAGTATAATTAAAATTATCACAGAAAACTATTTCTGTCTAAGTTGCTTAACATTGATACAAGATAATGTTTCATTATGTTTTTTAATGCAGAATGTGGATTATATACTTTCTTGGCAAATCTATACTGATAACATTCTGAGCAGTTAGGTGTGAGAATTTCAATGTTTCTGGTGATTGTATTTTTCTATAGTAATTGATAAATTAATTGACTTATGTCACAATTACTTCTATATCTCAGACATTCTTTTGAGTGCAATGTAGTTAACAAAACGATATGAAATAATTGGCAATGTAATAACAATCTACTTGTTCAAAAACAAAAAATTTCTTTCAAGAATCAGGTGCTGAAAATTAATTGATCAGATATGATAATTGGCTGTGAATTACTAAATCTCAACAAATAT